TTTAATGGAAACACCTTTGGCCCTGAAGCTGTTAGGAATGAAGAGAGCTTTGCCACAATAAAACAAAATGACCATTCCTTGTCTGCTCAGATGCCTATAACTTTTCCCCCATATATTGAACCTGGCATGTAAAGTAAAATGTGGCTCAAAGGATTTTTTTCTCCATGAGTACATAGCAGACTCGAGTATAATAAGACAGAAAGGAGACAGACAGATCACAGTCAAGGGATGTATCTTTGTTGATAGATTTCATTTTTATCTCAAAAATTACATTTATAAGTGTACTTTAAATTTTACAAATAAAAACTCTTTACCAACAAAGCATATGTCATTGTTCCACAGATTACTTAATGGTTTACATTATTATAGCTTTCAGTACCCTCTCCTCATACCCTTTTTTCTTAACTTATTTAGGAAGTCAAAGAGTTGAATAATTGGGGATTCTGGAATTCTTTGAGGGAACTAAAGTTCATATTCATACTTTTCTTATTCCACCTAAGAGCCTTGGTGTAATATTTGTATTTGTTGGAGGTGTAACAGGCAAGATAAAACCAGCAATTTTCCTCTTAACATCTAGGACAAATTTGATAACCACTTCTGATATAAATAGGTTGGTTTCAACATGTTTCTTTGCACCAGAATATTTCTTTCCTCAAAGAGTAAATTCTGATTTATTTGACTTGTTAAAAAGTTCATTTCCTCTCTGCCCCAATGTATTTTCCTTTAATGTTCAAAAATTTAATCAAAATATTTTGCCTTAAACAAATATATTTATTCAATAGGCTATATTTTCTTTTTAAAAATTATTTCATGTTTTCACTAGGACTAAAACTTTTTCAGTATAAACTTGGTATGTCTAAAGTTAACTGAAAAAATTATAGCTAAAAGAAGTACTGTGCAAGACTTTATACCTTCATGGATGCAGTAATTTTATTTAATCCCTCCAGCTTATTTCTTTATGTATGCTTCTTTGACAGAAAGTCATTTTTAGCTAAAAGAGGGATATATATATATATATGTCATGCCCCTGCAAATTTTGTAGTAAAGTACTGTGTTATCAATTTGTTATTTAATTAGATTGCCTTATTAAATTAGTTTTTTTAAAACCACACTGCTGGAGCCTACATTAAATAAGTATTTATGGTATCACATTGTACATCCAGAGTAAACCTTTGGGCTTCCATTTCCCACACAGACCTGGTTGTTAGACTGAGTTTCAGATCCAGTCCTAGAACACTTAAAACTGATCCGTTGCCCTGTTTTATAAAACATTCTCTTCTTCACAAATGAGTCTTTTCACAAACCTAGTTTAGTACAAATTTCCAATGGATATAGTCTGGTCCTGTGCCTCTTGTTGTCTGCTGGGCTTTTGCCACACATAGATGAAATTTTTTTTCAAGATTTATTTATCCATGCATACAAGAGCCGGGGTGCAGGCCAGAGAGGATCCACCAGAGACAGAGTGGGGAACAGAACAGGCAGACCGACCGAAATACACTGCTGAGGGGAGCAGTGGGTGAGACAGGAGAGGTCTGCCTCGCCATGTGGGTTTTTCCCTGGCTGGCCGGGGATCGAACCTGTGCTGCAGAGGCTGTGGATTGCTTCACAGTGCGGTGCCCAACCCCTTGCACCACCAGGGAGGCCCATGTGGATGAAATTTTCAAGGATGATCACTGACTTCTAGGACATGGAGTAAAAGGAATCCTCATACACTGTTGGTAGGAATCTAAACTGGTCCAGTCTCTATTGGAAATATTACAGAGGATTCTCAAAACATTAAAAATGATCTTTCTGGGCTTCCCTGGTGCTGCAAGGGGTTAAGACACAACCTATGAAGCTGTCCACATTCACCGCAGCGAGACTTCAATCCCCAGCCAGGGAGCTGCACACATGATGCAGCAGACCTCTCCTGGCCCGCCCACTGCTCCCTTCAGCAGTGTATTTCAGTCACTCTGCCTGTTCTGTTCCCTACTCTGTCTCTGGTGAATCCTCTCACCCCCCACATCTCTGGCTTGTACCCCAGTTTTTATATGCATAAATGAATAAATCTTTAAAAAATGATTTTCCATATGATTCAGTAACCCTACTCCTAAGTAACTAATGAATATAAAAATGCAAATTCAAAGGGATATATGCATGCCTATGTTCAATGCAATACTATTTACAATGGCCAAGCTCTGCATACAATCTAGGCACCCAAGTTCAAAAGACTAGATAAAGAAGATGCGGTATATATATACCCTGGAATACTTCTAAGCTATTTAAAAAAGAGATGAAATCTTGTCATTTGCAACAACATGGACAGAATTGGGGGAAATTGTGCTAAGTGAAATAAGTCAGGAGCAACAAATACCAGATGATTTCTCTGTGAAATATAAAAAAAAAAACTAAAACAAACCCTTTAAATCTGACTGCAGAACTGAGACCAGAAGGTGAGGGTTGGAGGATAAAGAGCAAAGGGGCTCAATGAACTCTGCTGGAGGATTATTGGTGCTTTAGTGATGGGTGTGGTGTGCGATACACCTAAAACACACACACACACACTGCTGTCAACCAACATTACTTCAACTAAAGTATTTTTTTACATAATTTACTTAATTGAATTATTTAAAAAATTGAAGGGCTAGAAATTCAATCAGATACCAGTATTTTTAAATGCAGTTAATTTTTATATTGTGACTTGTTGAATTTATGTCTTCCTCTACTTTTTATAAAGGTGTGCATTTATTAGAAAAGCATAAAAATATTTTAAATATAGACTATAAGAATACAGCTAGCAAAATAGCTAAATAGCTATCCATAGAATAAGTTTACATTTTAAAAGTCTTAAAAGGCTCAATTATATTCTTTGTAATATTTAGGACAGCAGCAGAATTGATTTGGTCAACTGGCCCTAATTTAACAAAATTATATTTTCGCATCCATCTCTGGTAGCAATGAGCATTGTTTTCTCAGCTGGTGAGACACAACATATCATTTTATTACCAATAGAAACCTGGATTCCAATAATTATCATAGCCAAATGTAACAACATAATGACATGACAAAGAGACACAGGTCTAGGCTTAATATCTTCTTAGGAAATGACAGCTACTATCACCATGGTGCATAATAAAAATGTAGTTGCTTATAATTTCATAGCAATGTCTAAGGTCAATGAATAAACATATAGGTAACAAAATGAATGTAAAAACAAATCCTAGCTGGCGGGGTGGCAGGGTACAATGAGCCAGACCTGAGAATTAGGAACCCCAGAAGCCAGCATCAATCTTGTTACCACATATGTTCTTGAGCAAGTCATTTAACTGTTTTAAATATCAGTTTCACATCTATAAAAATATCAGTCTACAAATATAGGTCACTTCTAGTTCCAAAATTCTGTAATTTTAGAACACATCAACATAGAGCTAAGGCATGAAGCTCAATGCAGGTAGAAAGCAAACCTAAGGTGATTTTCTAAATTCATCTGCCTTTCACCTCTTGCATTTTCTACAATGTCTAGCAAGATTAGCAATATGGGACTATACGATACTTAAATGCAAATGAAACTCAGGGGAAGGGATTTACACATTCTTCTAAGTCTCTGGAGCTTCGAAACTGAAGCTGAATCACACTTGATTAGGCTCATTGTGTGGAAAGTTATTGTCACTGCCACAATAAGAAGTGCACTCCAGTGTCTGGGTCATTCTTCTTCCTCATCAGGAGCAGACTATCAATATAGTCTCAGAGCTGAGACTACAAATAGTTACCTTTCGCTAAAACCTTATAGGCTAGCTATTAAATTACTATCTCTCAACTCAGATCTACTCCTCCAGAATCTCTTTTGTATGCTGAGGTTTGGGGCTCTGAAATGTGTATTTCTCCTCTTCTACTAAGTTCCCTAGACAGTTCCATATGTAGGGAGCTCTAGTTGAATGGAAAGTTGGATGAGGGGTAAAAGGATTTCTTTGTTCTTGCTATTCTCACCAGCATTCATTCAGCAATATACTCTTTTTAAAAAAGATTTATTTTGTTTATTTATGCATGTAAGAGCTGGGGTATAGGTTACAGGTGCAGGGGGCAGGAGGCAGTGGTGAGAGGATTCACCAGAGTGTGGAGCAGAACAGGCAGATCCACTAAAATATACCGCTGAGGGGAGCAGCAGGGTGAGGCAGGAGAGGTCTGCTGTGCCATGTGGGTTAGTTCTCTGGTCAGGGATCTAACTACCCTTGCACCACTAGGGAGGCCCTCATTCAGCAATACACTCTTTTGAGCAGCAACAGAAGTTGGTTCCATCTCTAGGTTTCTTGGGTCAACTCAGTACTAGTCCCAAATTACTGTCTCTAAGGTATTCCCCGACTGCTATGCACATCACTTCTCAGGTCTGCATTTTTTCAAGATTTCTAGCTCTGACAATTCTATCATTTCCCCTTTGCTCCCTCGGTCTAAGAGGTGACAGTTGTCTTCTTTGCAATTTCTCGGTGTCTCCCATTCTTTTATTCCTTCCATACCTTCATACTGATAATTTTTACTCATCCACTCACATCTCACTATTCTAGAACACAACAATGTAGAATCATTATCTGCATTTGCAGAAAATGAGATTACAAGAAGTTATTGACTTAAGATTGTCCAACTAATAAGTAGATAAATGCCAACTCATATAAGAAGTAAGTAGATAACACTATCTACCCCAAGTTCAATAATCTCGCCACTACATGAAACTGCCTACTTAGTATCATATATGTTCATGCTGATAACATTAATGTTATTCATTTTGTTCTTCTTATGAAAAAGTAAAAAAGGCATCAACAACAAGTACCATCCTAAGAGTATATTCACAACAGAAGATATGGATTTTGAATTATTTCATAATCAATAATAATATCTCAAATTACCAAAGACAGAAAAACAACAACAGAGTCAAAATTACTATAATAGATAGGAAGGAATAAATTACTTTGCTAGCATAAGAAGTCACTATTAAGCAAAATAAATAATGAAAGCAAACCAAGGCTTACCAAATCCTTTTAGATAATAACTTTTCTTTGCTGGGACAGTATATTATTAGCATCTGAAAGAAAACCAGGATTTTGCTCTAAGAAGCAGATTCAAAGTTAATGTGCAAAGGATACTGCTTCTTTGTAATTCATTCAATAATACAATACTTTATTGAATAGAGAGCCATTTAAACTTTACATATTGAACAATTGTTCATCTGTAAAAATGTCAGAATGCCAAAAAAGCAAAGGAGCAAGTCATAAAAGATTCCCAGTTTCTAAGATAAGATCTTAAAGCAATATATAATATCATCCAAATATATATAGCAATGGCAAAGTCATACTGTTCTTAATTCAATAGTCAAAGCTAAATCTGGAAGGCACCTCCATTTGTATTTTCAGGAATTCAGTTTGACTGTTTAAAAGTAGATTCAGGTCAAGTAGCTACCATGATATTTTATTTTAAGTCATTGTCTGTGATAAGAAACAGCATTGGAAGGGAAATATATATATTATTTTCAGCCATTTTAACAGTTTAAATAAATGAAAGTAATAGTGAACATTTGGGTTAGCAACAGGTACAATTGCAAGAGACAAAATACACAGTTAACACCAACAAGCTAAATTAATTAAAACTATGCATTTTGTCTGCTGCAATTGATCCTGTGATTACAAAACAATATGGACCATGCATGAGATGTCTAGTTCTAAGTGAATCCAGGACCCAAAGTGACTCAGAGTCTTTAATTCTGAGTCTTTGCTAGAGCATGTTCAAGCCTTAACCACTATATTCCTGCTTCTTCTTGTCACAGGCTCATAGCCGTATGGTGCTGTCCAACCCAACCAACTCTCAATTCATTAATGTGACCGCAGAATTCCACTTTATATGCACGCTTTATCTGGGTTTAAAACCTCTGCTAACTAAGAGAAACAGTTCTTTTTCTCCAAATATTGAGGGAAGGAGATGCTGCTGGGAAAACTCTGGAAATCTCCCATACAATTCTATTTGACATGGACTTTGACTGTATCCATAGGTATAATAAGTATTAGATTTCCACTTACAAGACCGAGACTTTGGGGTGTAGGTGTCAGTGGGAAGCAGGGAGTGGAGTGCTGCTTGGGTGGTCTGGTGCTGTGACAAGAAGTACTTTAGATGTCAGGAAAAAGCTATAACTCACCAATAGCAGTTACTGTGTCTTTGCCCTCCTCTAAAACCCTGAGGAGAGCATCTTTGTACATTTGTTAATACGTTTTTGAGAAGGTTCCCCTCAAATATTAAGAAGACTTCAAAGGCTTATCTATTAGAGAGCAGAAAGAGTAGACCCTCTCTCTAAACATTCTCCAAAGTAGAGTTTTTATTCATTCATTCATTCATTCATTCATTCATTCAATTTTTCAATGAGGCAACATTGACTTACAACATTATATGTCATTTAGGGGAATAGGTTCATACATCCTCAGATGTATTAATATGTTACCACACCACCCCCACCATCTAAGTACCCAGAGTCCTCAAAAGCAGAGTCTTTATGGGCCTCTCTGGTGGCACAGGAGTTAAAGTCACAGTGCTATCAAGCAATCGCCAGCCACCATGGCATGAGTTTGATCCCTGGCCAGAGAGCTAAACCACATGGCATAGCAGACCACTCCTGTCTGTTCCCCTCAGCAGTGTATTTCAGTAGATCTGCCTGTTCTGCTCCCCACTCTGTCTCTGGTAAATCCTCTCATCCCCACACCTCTGGCCTACACCCCAGTTCTGTATGTATAAATAAATAAAATAAATATAATTTTTAAAAGTAGAGGCTTTAAAAATAGAAAGCAATATGTTGACCTGTTCAGAGTTAATGAGAAAAGATGACAATTAAAAGCAAGACCATCACATTCATGAAGAAATTAATGATAGGGCATTAATCATTTTAAATTTGCTTACTTCACACCAAACATTAGGACGGGCCATTCAAAAGCCCACCCTCTGATGTTAGAAACAGGCTATTTTCCAGAATATACCCAATGCTTAAAGTCCTAGGTCTGAGAATAAGACACCTGGTGGTGCCAAGTTCTTAATGTGGCTGAATAGATATTGGAGGAGATAAGTAAAGGTTAAAGTGGGGAGCAGTTTCTTAATTGCTTAAGTGACCAATAAAGCATTCAGATCATGGTGAGCCAGTCACAGCTCCAAATGTCTGCTCCCACTTGGAATGCAAGAAGTGCATCCTCAAGATTCAGCTACTTGACATTTACCCCACTGCCTGGATCATGGCATTAGGATTTTCCTTCTGAAGTGAATTTTTTAGCAGCTGAGGAACTTCAAAGTCACTCTGACCTGTTTCCCTATTGCCAGGGTGGGATATATTAAAGACTATGGATTTTGAGGCTCTGTGATAAAATCACATAGCAGAACAAGAGAATAGATGTAAAAAGGAAGGTTTCAGAACCCAAGTAGTCTATGATAACAATAAAAGTAATGAAAACATCTAATCTCACTGCTCTTTATCAACTTCTGATTCTTTTGCAGACACAGTATCATGTACTTTAAGTGCACTTATTATATCATATAATCTTCACAACCCTTAGGGAAGACTTTTTAATCTCCATTCATACATGGGGAAATAGCAGCACACGCTCTTCAAAGTCATATAAACAGCAAGTTGCAGGGCAGGGGCTGGAACCCAATTATCTCCCCCACACTCCCATTCCCTGAACTTGTACTTCTACTTAGTTCTTCTCACCTCTGAAAAGCACCAAGGCAAAGGGGGCGGGGGACAGTGGAGGGGCAAATGCTTCTACGAAGAAAATTGAGATTATACATCAGGGCAACTAAAATTGATATTGACAACTGAATGAGTCTCATGATTCATAAGGAGGGACTGAAGCTCAAGAAAAGGAGCCAAACTTAACACAGTTATTAGGCAAGGATTGGTTTGGAGGGAGGAATTAGCAAAGCTAGCAAAGCCCAGTTTTTGTACACATGGTAGGCTCTTATAAACTGCCCTAAATTAGTTACTTTGAAGCAATATCCACAATTACTAAAATATACTAACAAAGCATTGCTTCCAGAAAGACCCAAATCAGAATAATGTTTGAACTCCTGTAGAAATTGATTTGCAAATAATTTTCCTGAGATACCTTTATGGAGAGGATAATTTGTTCCCATTTGTATTTTTGCAAATGTGCAGACTGTTAAAATATTTGTAGCTGTTTTCGTTCTAGGTTTTTTGACTCATAGTTGACTCATAATAGTTCAAGAGGAAATTCTGGGAATTGAAACATAAAGGGTAGCAGGCATAGGATGTAGAAATTCCCAGGCTAAGTTCTGGAGATGAGTTTTGTATCAGGCATTTTGTTCTTATCATTCATGCTACAGATCCCTAAGTACAGGAAATCTGATGATTTATATGCCTTTGAAGGGTAAAATAACCAACTTTATTTTTTGTTAGAGATACTTAAATCTTTTGGAGTCTAACAACTTGTTTTATATTTTAATTATATAGTTTATTGCTATTCTGTTAAATGCTATTCACATAATTTTACGTATAGTATGTGGACTTGTTATTCTTCCTGTGACTTTAACATTCAAAATGAATGAATGACATGTTTCTTACTTCAATCTTCTACCTAAGTCAAGTACATTTTTTGGGCTAGATTCAACAGGATTATGACTACTAACTCTGGAAATTTTAAACATTACAAAATATCTATATCACAACCTAAGGTATTTCAAGATTAATTTTACCCTTTTTTCTCTGCAGACCTCTTGGCCTGAGGCCCTGGGCTATGCATTGTTAAAAAGAGGTTTAAGGACTGGCAGCTGCAAGTACCATGTTCAGAATGTGATTCACTCGGGGTATAAGGTAATATTTACTCCAGGTATTAATGGTCACAATTCACAAAAGTAAAAAATTGTTCCACTTTATCTCTATAACACACAAAAATGACTGGCAAAACTAGCTGCTTTCTAATAACAGCTTCCAGAGGTCACAGAGAGGTGAAATTGTCACTGTGATGTGCATACTGTGGGGACGAGGCCACTTGCAAAAACACTTGTGGTTTTTTCTTAGTATTATGATGAAAGAACTGCTAGCCACCCACATTCCAGTCTAAAGCTTCTCCAAAAAAAAAAAAGCAAATTTCTCTATGACACTGAGTAAATGCATGAAAATGATATTATACATTTCAAAACAATACTATTGTGAATGATATGTTTGAACCACCGTATATTGCTACCAGTCTAATTTAAGTTTCTCTGACATTGCAATCATTTACACAGCTAACTTGGGGAAAACTAAAATAATATCTGATTGTTGCTATTCCTCTAGAATTGCTCATAAGAATATCAGGAAAAAATGGGTCAGCAACTCCATCTAGGGAGCACTGAGCCTGGCCCCCACAGTAACTGCACATATCAGCAGCCTGGTAAACCCAATCCAGTGGTGGGATCCAGGATGAGAAACTGACAATAGCCCAGTCAAAGCTCCATCTGGATCCATCTTTGGTCCATGTGGCACAGCCAGTATCACAACAAGGAAAATCAACATAGCATATTGCAAAATATTTTATGTTTAGGTGAGGATGAGATTTGAGCTGCTATTTGTCCTTGACACTTAAAATGGAAAATAAGGGGGGTGAAATCTATGGTGTAAAGTTCAAGTCTAACTTTGGGATGAGAAGAACTCTAGTGATTAATGTGATTAAAGCGGTAAGTTAATTATTCCAGAATATGGATCCTATGCCAGGAATAAAACTTCATAGACTCGAAGAAAGATTTTCTTGGGGAACTCAATTGTTAAAGAGCAAATCCTGGGAGTAGAAGAGTGAAGGGCATGTATAGGATGTAGAACTCCCCAGCCAACTTCTGGAGATGAGTTCTACACTCTCTGTTACCAATTCTTCCCCAAATGGCATATATTTTTGGTATTTTTCCCATTTTCTAATTTAAACCTACTTAGAGAAAGGAACTGGAACTCACTCATAATTAAATGTAATCTAACAACCTATGTCTCTCCTTCTTTATCTCATTTACACATATACTCAAATATATAACATTAGTATAGATAAAACTATAAATGAAAGCAAT